CAAATTGTACTCCAGTGGATTAATTTCTGAAACTCCAAATTAACAACATAATAGGGATATTACGAAGGAACAATAAAAGCACCATATTTATAAGTGGTAATGTGGTTTGAAATTCTTTGAAAAGTGGGCGCAGCCCGACCTCCTAATAAGTTCATATTTTATATCTTCCGAATCAATGAAGCTATATCACCTAAATTAGCATAGTACAAATATTTTCAACGCTTCTTACTATAGTGTGAAAATAAGTGAAATCGGATTATGACTCCGCTCAGTCATCATTTAACGATTTTGTTAAAAACTACTAAAAGTGTGATAAATCAATAACAAAATAATGTAGAAAGATAAAACATTTCCCGAATAGTGACCTTGTAGTGTGTCACCTTGTGGAAAAAATTGTCCAAACCGAACGAAAAGGTACCGAATATATGGTCCTCAGTGCCTATAGCTGCCTTTTTAATGAAAATATCGGTCATTGTGATATATAACTAAAAGAGAGAATCCTTTCTTGATGATTGTCAGTCTCAATATCAAAAATGGGCTGGATCCGGTCGATACTTCCGCTAGCCCCCATATACCTAATATAAATATTTTTGAACTTCCTGGTGACTTTTATGCCGCATATATCGGTCAGTATATCATTAAAGTGTATCTTTGAGCTTAAAAAAATTCAAAATTGGACAAAAACTTGACCCAGTCCCAAATTTTTTGAGAGTTCAGCTGACTTTACTAAACATGATTGGTGATTGTATTTGCTTTGGGCTTTATTAATCTGTGGCTGGTTAATTGTATGCAGTATTGTCAAAAATAGATAAAATCCAGTCAATACTTCCCTCTCTCCCATATACCATACAAAATGATTTTAATAAGTTTTATGCCGATCGTTCAGTGTTTAAGTTATATTTATATTTAAAAAATTGCTTGAAATAAATTTTCAAGTATGTATTCCTCATCAATGTAAAAATTTATTCAATCAGCCCATTCTTTGCTCTGCCCCCAACATAACCTATTAATAAAAATGGCCAACTTCCCGCCTGACAAAATGTGTGATATCCTTTGACGTAATAACAATTATTTTGCACATTTCCCGTTCAGGGCTATATGTACATATATTTTTTTCGTAATTTTCTTAAGTTATATTTTTACGTGGTCTTGGTTAACCAGTCACCAGAAGTCTCTGCGTTTATTACATAAATAAAAATATATATGTATGTACATAAGTAATTAATGATTTTGAAGAAATTTGAGTGTGTGAATTGGTAGCACGTAATTGAAAAGTAGTATTCACAATAGCATTTATGTCAATAAAGATAATTAAGGTGGGTATAAAATATTTGTGTACACCTCTCTTATTATATATTTTATATGTTTTATTTTACATACTCAGTCATATGTCTATTTAGTTTTTCAAAGCTTTCATTATCTTTTAATTTATAAATTTATTGAAAAAATCTGCGATGACCAATTCACAATTAATGGTAGTAATTGTAGTTGGCAATGCGCTGAATGAAAAAAAATGACAACAGCGCTGAATGCCTGAATAGCCAAAATGACAGCTGTCAACTATCCTTTCCTTTCTTTCCGGTGACTGCTCCATAAAAGACGCTAAAGTATGTAAAAAATATTAAAATTTATCGTTTAAAATCTGTGTAATCACTACAATGATATGTGTACAGAATTAGAAAATGGTTGTGAAAAATATTCTGATCATAAATGTATAAATTGATGTGTGTTCAAGACTAATACATTCGGAATAATTAAATTTCCTATAAAGAGGTTACAACCAAATCATTAAAAACGGTCATTGATACATCAATAAACTTATAGATCTTGATTGAAATTCAGTGAATAGTGTATTGATTTTGTTTTTTTTTCATTCTTGTTTCAGAATGTTTATGCCAAAGGCTCATCGCGTAGCTATCTACGAGTATCTCTTCAAAGAGGGTGTCATCGTTGCCAAAAAGGATTTCCATGCTCCCAAGCACCCCGAGCTGGAGACCATTCCCAACTTGCATGTTATCAAAACATTGCAGTCGCTCCACTCTCGTGGCCTGGTTAAGGAACAATTTGCATGGAGACATTATTACTGGTACTTGACCAACGAAGGTATTGAGTACCTTCGCAGTTACTTGCATTTGCCTCCTGAAATTGTGCCAGCCACATTGAAACGTCCAGCACGCTCAGAGACAATGCGTCCCCGCCCAGCGGCATCTGCTCGTACTGGTGACTCTTCTAAGACCGGCGAGGACCGTACTGCTTACAGACGTGCGCCCGGTGGACCCGACAAGAAGGGGGATGCTGGTCCTGGTGCTGCCGATGTTGACTTCCGTGGTGGATTCGGACGTGGTGCACGCCCACAATAAAAAGTGGATATAAAAATATTCTAGTAACCACTTACTTAGTTATAAATGATTTTCCAGACGGGATTTTTTTATTTTGAAGTAAATAAAAAATAAAAGAATCTTTAAAATGCGGTGTTTTAACAAAGTGGAATAGTGATCTGTGTCTGAAAAAATGTTATTGCTAATTGTGAAAATTTGACACCAGTTACTTTTGGCGCGAAATATAACAGGCATTGTCCAATATATGCCAAATTGAATTGATTGTGTGAATGTTGATGGTTTTTTTTGCCACATAAGCCGTCTAAAATTTGCAGTCGACGGTTTCGGTTAAGCATAGTTTTAGAATATCAGAAAGTAATTTTTGCGATATTAAACAGTTATAGGGAAAGTACACTAATCTAAGCAAAGTAAAATATATACGAAATTGAAGAGTTATTAGGACGCAAAGTCGTGTGGAAAGTCTTCCTCTGCTTCCCAGGGGGTGGGGTACTGCGTCGAACCCTTTTAGATTACAGAGAAGAAGAAACTCGTGTGCAACAACAACGGTGATTATTCTGCTCTTGTTATCCTTAAATTTTATCATAATAAAGTATATGTCAAAATTGTGAATGCCACTGTGATAGAAAATTGGGAATTAATATTTTTTGGCTTAAAGGAAAACATATTGGACCATTCTATGATATGCATACTATGAAACAATAATTTTATAAAATTTCTTTAAAAATTTTTATATTTTACAGTAGTAAATAGCGAAAAATACCCATTTGTAGAGTACGTTTTTACGCGAGCTGCATTCTTTTTGTATATTTCTTTATCATTGAAGTTCGTTTTGTACATACACATATACAACAGAAATGTCAATTTTAATTTGTCGGTTTGTGAATTCTGTCAATTCTCCACTAAACGTATTAGCAAGAAATCAAGGGACGGTTTGAGAAATATAGTACAAAGATGTGTTAAAATTTTTATGAAATCAAAAAGCCAACAAATTTGCAAAATAATTAACATATAACTTATTACAAAGAATCCAATATAAAGTGTAATGGGGCAAGTTCAATCTATTAGTGACAGCAGCCTTCCAGAAACTGTGGACGCCGTTCACATGCAAGTTATTCGCCATGCCAAAGTACTCTCAGAAATAAACTCTCTAAGCTATGAAGAATTTAAAGCATGCTTGGACAACTTAAATGAGTTGTAAGGATATGAATTTATTTTATAGCGAAATAATCGTTAATTACTTGATCTTCAAATTAACTTATTTTCAGGTCTCGTAAGTGTATTGACCCAAATGGTAAGCAGCTGGTATTCCTTGTCAAACGCGGTACAGACACATCTATGCTATGGAAAGCAATGGTCAAAATTGCTTGCATAAAAGTAGACCCTTCGACGAGGAAAATCGAGAGTTATAAATTTCTTAATTTAAAGCAATTCCTGTGCGTTTTCAGAACTTTTCAATCTCATCTAGAAAGTTTAATGTCAAGCGAAAATCAATTGGTATACGAAAACAATAATACCAATTTATGTTTTCTAATTTTTCTTATTCAAGTAGTGTTCACGCCGAAGTTCACTTCCGCAAACTCCAGTAGATGATGAAATAGCAGGCGCCACATCTGCTGTAAACAACCACATAACCGCATCGATGATAATGGAGCGGGTAAATTCCCTTGTAAATATTGGTCGCAATTCAAGCAGCGAAACCTCAAGCGGTCTAAATAGCCCTTCATCATGTTCACATTCTGAACATGTTGATGAGTGCTCAATTTGCTTAGACCGATTAACGGAAGTAATACTGCCTTGCACGCATAGTTTCTGTACGCCATGCATTGAACAATGGTTTGAAAATCATACAATTAATTTTATGCTTCGATTATAAATGATTTATCCCCCTAGGAACGTCAATAATAAAACTTGTCCTATATGCAGTGAGGCTTTGGAGAGCACGGATGATACGTGGATTATGCCAGATATTCCCGGTGTAGAAGAGATAAATGAAAAAATTTGCGCCGAATTCATGAGCTTAGCAAAAGATTGAAAAAAAACTAAAATCTAATATTTTGTTGGTAGCGGCCTGTACGCCGTCTCATAATGGGAAAATGTAATAATTTTCGTCTAGAAATATTTTTATTATAGTTTAACAACCACTAACTTTGACACATTTTGGCGCTCATAACATATTATATCTATCCTATATATGTATACAATCTTTGAACTGCTTGCAAACCTCATATTATACATCATATCTGATTCATACATTTAATTCAATTTCCATTTATTATAACAACTTCTAACAGTTAACATATACCTTACTTGTACATGTCTCAGCATACCTCAGCCCATTCCAAAATAATTACACAAACATGAATTTTTGTAATACTCTTTTGTTATAAATATAAACTAATTTTTATTGTTGGTTGATCTTTTTACATGTGTAAGGCTAATTATATTTAACTATTGATTAAAGATACGACTTTTCTTGTTGGAAAAATAAATAAGTTATTGCGAGACATACATTATGATATAATTATAAAATACTACATCTATAATTACATGTTGCTAAAATGACATTTATTAAATTTGTATAAATTTATCAAGTATTTGCTGTTGTCATTACCATAAAAGGAGTGTTATGTTTGTTAAGATTGCAGCTGAAAGCGCCACTTTTGGCGTTGGATCAGTTGGCGCGTCGCTTAATACTAACTTTGCCTTTAGCCAAATGAGACATATTAATTTTGACTTTACTATCGTTAGTCTTTTTGACCCATACCTGCATTTAATTTACATGATGATGTTTAATGTTATTGAAAAATATATTTTTATTATAAAAGTATTACTTACCACTTCATTGCCTATGGCGGTAATTGTAGCTGCGAATTTTACCAAATCCTTGCCCTCAACATAAACCTGTTGGCCTCTATGGAACCATCTCCTTTGATACAGTAGTTTTCCATCTTCAATACGTGTTTCAATATTGGTGGCAGCGTTTGCATTTGTACTTTCGGAGAGTAAACCTCCCTGTTGCAGATTACTAAAAGGAACGTTTCCGACACCATTTTGTTGCGTTGCTACAATAAAAAAGTTATATAAAATTAATTATCATATAGATATAGGTTTTATTAACAGACTAGTTGCTAATATCTTGCCTCTCTGTATAGCCTTCATATCGCTATCAATCTCTTTGTCGTCCAACAGGTATACAAGTAATTGACCAGTTGTAGGTTTCCGTCGTTTTTCGACTACTGGAACGGGTTCATTTGGTCGCCTGCGTAGTTTGCGCGTCACTGTTGGTTTTACTTCCGTTGAGTCATTCGTAAGCTCCAAATTGTACCGCTCATTCTCTATGAGCTTCTTCCTTTCTTCTAAATCGGCTAGAATATTTTCCTTCAAATCAATCTGAATGACATAAATAATTTATGGATAATTATAAGAATATGATAGAGTAATATTAGTTACCTTTTTCTCTTCATACTCCTTAAGCGCTGCTCGTCGCTCTGCTTGATAGTCTTTCTCAACACACTCTTTTAGATATTCTCTGTGGATTTCATTCAGTCTTAAGCGTTCTTTGTACTGATTTTCAAGCTTTTTTAACCGCTTTACATAGTCAGGATGTACGAGATGTTTTAGTTCTTCTCGTTGTTTATTCAATATGGCTAATTTGTGCTGATAAACTCTGCAAATTAAAAGATATAAATTTATTTTTTTGTATAAAAAATTAAAATTGCGACATACTGTTCTTTTAATTCGTGATTGCTGCCACCGTTTGTTGTGTTTGTAGCGTTGCTGCTACGACTGTTGTTTCGAAATTCCGTTTCACTCGCATCGTCAGTATCTGTGTAAATGAATTAAGTTACAGAAAATCCAAATTAATGTAAATAAATTGATTTCTTTACCTTCTTCACTGTCGTATACGGTTGGGTCATAGTGATTTGAACGAGAATCATCATTCTCTTCAAAGTGGTGCACTACTTGATTCGCGTAACCTTGGAAATGCATTATATCTTCATAAATTCTCTGCTTTCCTATAATAATTCGTTATTAACGTTATAAGAAAGTTTATTATAAACGATGAACGATTCAACAACAAAAATTTACAATTCCAATATGTAGTAAAAACTGACTGACATTTATCTCATGCAGTAGATGTGCAGGTTATCTATAGTAAAAGTATCTGACTCAGAGCTGCATTTTAAATGTCAACACACAAAAATATTAAACAAGTTAGCAAAACTTTATTTTAAACAAATAAGGAAGCTTAAGTTCGGGTGCAACCGAATATTTTATGATTTTACAACTTGCTAAAAATAAAACCGGGAAATACTTTAAGGTGTCAAACGTTAACAAGAGGATCGAAATTTTAGCAATTTTATATAACACATATAGTATGTAACTCCTACTATATACTGATACATAAGGTTTGTTATAAATAGCCGAGTTAACAACAGCCCGACAGTCGTTTCTTCTTTTCGCAATGCGGGACCAATTAGAGATTCTAAACGACGCCAGGTCCTTATCCAGCTGGTCTTTCCAACGGAGTGGAGGTCTTCCTCTTCCTCTGCCTTTCTTGGCGGATAATGCGGCGACTACTTTCTGTGCGGGAGTGTTTTCGTCTATTCGGACGACATGACCTATACTGCGTAGCCGCTGTCTTTTAATTCGCTGGAGGACATTGACGTCGTCGAATATCTCATACAGCCCAGCGTTCCATAGCCAACGTGCAAAGGACCATAAATCATTCGCAGAACCTTTCTCTAGAAAACTCGAGAAGTCGACTCATCAGATGTTGTCATTGTCCATGCACCATATAGCAGGACGGGAGTATTGAGTGACTTAAAGAGTTTGGTCTTCGGCCGTCGARGGCGGACTTTACTTCTCAATTGACTAGAGAACTAATGGCGCAGTTCTTGAGCCAATGATATCAATATCATCGGCGTACGCCAGCAGCTGTACATAAACTCTTGTAGAATTAGTTCTGCAGCTCGAATTATTTTCTCCAAGAGTATATTGCCTTGTCTGTCATTATATATAATATATAGGAATTTGGATTGTATCGAACCGACTTGATATATTTTTTCCAATACCGCATACTATTAACATGCCACATACTAAAAAACCAATCATATGGAGTAAAGACAGCCGGCTGTTCGAAAATTATGATACTAGTTATATAGAGGCTAGGTCAAGTTTTCGTGTTAATTTATCTTTTTTAGCCACAAATATATACTGTTATGAGTAAAACTCCCTCTCATTTTCATTGAGATAACTCACATATTCACCAATAAATGCGGTACAAAGTCACCGGGAAATTCGAAAATATGTATATTGTTTATATGGAGGTTAACCTAACGGTTCAACCTATTTTTAACTTACAGACACACCATTGTCAGAGAAGGATTATTTCTGAATTTCAATTATATAAATATCTCATACATTGACGGCTATTTTCGATCAAAAGTTAACTACAGATACTGGGATCCGCATATTCGGTACCTAGGGACTTGATCAGTTTTTGTTCGATTTGAACAATTTTTGGTGAAATGGTGTCACACTAAATGTATTAATCGTGTAAAGTTTTATTGGTTTTGGTCGATATATGTGATTTCCCCAAAAAGTGGGTGGTGCCACGCCCATCGTCTGATGTTCACATCGGCTCCCATAATGCTCTCTCATACCATCTCGGTGGTAAAATTAAATGTCTCTGGTGTATTTAGATTGATTTATTGCAGTTCTAGTAATTTTTAAAAGTACCGTTATATGGGGAGTGGCGTTGTTATCTTCCAATTTCATCCATTTTTACACTGTCGGTAGGAGTTCTTATTATATTTGTTCTGGGCGAATTTGGTTATTATAGCATTAGTGGCTTAGGAGATATGTACATTAAACTTACTAGAGGGCGGTGCTACGTTCACTTTTTGAAAATTTGTTTTTGAGCTATTTGACAGCAAAAACAAAAACATCTCTCGAAAAGCCAATATTTAAGTGGGATACAGAGAACTTTTATTCAGCAATAGAAAAACCTATAGTAAATACTTTTTTTTGTTTGTATTGTTAAATTATATTTGTTATATACATCGATATTAATATAAGAAGTGTATACTTTAACCGTTGCCAAATTAATTTAAGTAAACATCTTTTTAAGTATTTTTCTTCGAATTTATTTTAATTTTTTATTTCAAGTACAATTTAATACTTTTATCGCATTTTAACTGCGCTTAACTTATAAATATTTTATTACTAACTTATTATATAAGGACCATACATGCATACAATGTTAGAGTCGACAAATCAGTGCAATTTCGTGCGTTTTTTTTTTTAATTTAAAATTACTTTAATTAATATTGAATGATTGTTGTTCTTATTTCTGCATTTATTTTGTTTTTTCTTTCAATTATTCAATCTCACTTAACGAACTTAATTGACTATTAAATTTGACCTACTCTAACTATGTTAATATTTAAGATCAGCGCATTTCTCTACTGAGTTAAAAATAAATAGTGCTTAACTGTATATGAAATGTACGTTTATTAATTTAATTTGAATGTCGTTGGCATATCAAAAGGAGGCAGTGTATAAAAGTACGTCAAAAATCATTTCATTATATAAAAATAGATTGAGCGAAATAAATTTGTAAATTCACTACTTTTATATGTACTTTACAAAAATTAGTGTGTAATAATATTAATCAGTCCATTGAAATGTGACATTAATTATATGTTTAAGAAATACGTAGATACACAAATGCAAATACTTAGATATTGCTCTTAATTTTTTCAAATTGATTTAAAGTTCTTTATAATTACAGTTTTAAAGGCAACTCCAAATATTTTTGAGTTATTTTGTACTCCTACATTTTCGAATGTTTAGAAAAAATATAATATTATTATGTGTAATTGTGTGCACTGTGGTGCTACAGGATCAATTTTAATGTATACATTATTTTATATATACTAATTTCATGAGCATGTACTTGCATACTTACATTTATTATTAATTTTATTTGCTTTTTTGAAATGCAATAGTACCCATTTAATTTCAATTAACAATAGTTGTAGTTATTGATTTTTAAGGGGGTATTCTACTCTAGAATTTTGAAAAATTCGATTTTTTTTTCATATACTTAAAGTTTAGACCCTTAAGAACATATCCAAAGGATTTATAAAATTAAAATTATTTTAAGAGCTCCAGTTACTTTAGTGCCGCAGTACGTAGTGCACTAATAAATGACTTACGCTGCTTGAAATTTGACTCACTTTTTTAAACGCGTTTTTCTCGAAACTACTTTTTTCCACACGGTACTGGCATTATCTCAAGTTCTATACAACCGATTTACTTGAAATTTTTTGTGCACCTTTATATAATCCTTTATCGTTCCTACCAGCATCGTGTCAAAATTTTTGTTTTATTTTTAAAAAAATTTAGGAATTTCAAAAAAAAAAAAAGCGTAAAAAATGATTTTTATTTTCAGGCAGTCGCCATTTTTCAAAAAAAAAATTTTTCGTGTTCCCTGAGGTAGGGAACATCCTTAGCACCCTTACTGATTAAGAATTTCTTTTGATATTTTTGTTCAGACCACCAGGAGAGTCAGGATTAATGTCACCAGGATGCGCCTTTTTTTTACACCTGTAAAAAGTATACACCTCCCCCCTTTCTAATTATTTTAATTTTTAATATTTTTCTGTAAATCTTTTTTTCTGTATTCTTAAGATATCAATAAAAACACCATAAAAAAATGGATAGTAGAAATGTTTTTTGGTTTTTTTTAATAAAATTCAAAAAACTGCCCAAAATTAGACTTCTAGACTAGAATACCCCTTTAAATCATTAATCTTTTGTTACACAAGAGACATACTAAAATTGCAGATGAAATTCTGCCATTGTGAGTTTAGGTGTAGGTGTATTCTGGTGTGGACAAAGAGGTTTAAAGGGTTTTGCAAAAGATTATCAATTACGAATTTTGTTATATTAACATTTCGTGTGAAATACATACAATTATTTATTGCAAAGCAATTTTATAAAAATAAGCATAAACTATTTAAAAACTTATATCATATTAGTGACATCAAAGCACTTGCAGGGAATAAGGACGTGTTAACTAAGATGAAAGCGATACGAGTTTGTGTGAAATTGAAATACCTAGCTACTTTAAATTAAAAATACTCGTAAAAGTATATTTTTAAAATATTTACAGTTCTTGTTTTCAATTAGTTGTACAACTAATGAGATTACAGTCCACTAAAATTATGTTAAGCTAAATGCTAATAAATAATTCAACTGAGTAGCATATTGTATATATACATATATAAATAAAGTGTAAAAAAATTTATATATAATATATAAAAAGGCTGAAATTTAAAAAATTTGTAACTAAGTCTAATTTATAATTTTAACACCGGAATTGAGAGACATGAATATCTACAGTTTACAGAATATTTAGATACATTTTTCTTTGATTTATAATAAAATCAAAATATACTAATTATACATATGTTATTGTTATAACGAATTATTTAATTTTTGGCATACATTTTGTCGTTTGTTTATGTTTTTGCATTGAAAKGTCAACATTTTCGGTTTTATATTGATGCTGCGTAAAATTTAAATTTGCTTCAAATTTTTCGTACCAAAGGATATGGTATAATTTATTTATAAAACTCTGTTCCACAGTCTGACAATTACTATTAAACAAGAAGAAGCAAACAAGAAAATCCAAATGTTTATCGAGCTGTGCCCAATTATTTCTTATATGAGTCTTAAGTATTCTATTATATTGCAGCAATGCCAGTAAGAAATGCATTTGCCAGTCCACACATTGTTCTCTAATACATAAGTGGCATACAATTTTATATAATGAAAAAATTTGTTTTGAAAAATCATACTCAGTACTAACGAAAAATAAATTAATACAGACTTATGTTAATTAAGTTGATCTTTAGGTATGTCAAAGTCTTACCAAACATATTTATAAACGTTTTAGACAGGCTCTTAATTTAGTCAATTAGTAAAGTATCCGCAACGTTGTACATAGTTTGCTAATGGACGAAAATAAGGGACTGTTGCAATTCAATACTATTATATATATATRTAATGTGACAGTGTCGTTTGTATTGCCTA